GGTACGGCCTGGAGCGCGTTGCATGCCTGGCCGTACGGTGCGTTACGGCTGCCGGGGGAAGCAGCTTGTTGTTGTTGAGCCTCTCTTCCCCGTTGGGTTGGCAGCGGCGGTGGCGGCGGCAGCAGCAGCAGCTGCCGGCGGCGCCGCCGGCCGCCGGCCAGAAGGCCAGCAGCAGTTGCAGCTACGGCGGCAGCGACGTCGCTGTCGCCGGCGGCGGCTGCCGCGGCAGGTCCGCTTCGAACGAGACGAAGCGACATTTCAGACCAAATCAGCTTGATGCCGCCGCCGACGCCGCGGCCGCCGACGCCGCCGCTGCTGCCGCTGAGCACGACGGCGTTGTCGGCAAGGCTGATTCGTCCGTACATCTCAATGCGTCAACATGGCGACCAAAAAGAAGGGTGCGAGGGCTATTATTAGACGTTGAGGATTCAGCTTCCGAGCTCAGCTCCGAAGCAGCAGCAGCGGTGGCGGGGTGCTGTAGCAGCGTCAGCGTCGCCAGCTCGTGCTATCGCGGCTGTAGCACAGATACCGATGGCGGCGAAGAAGACGAGTACGGCGATGATGATGCGTCGCTGCCTCCACGGCCGCCGGCTCTTGGAACTGCGACACGTGCTGCGACACAATCTGTCGCCGCCGCCGCTACAGCCGCCGTCGCCGTACCGCCCACAAGCCGCAACTGCCCATCAGTGGCAACGGCGCCGCTGCTGCCGCTGGCGTCGTCGCTGGAGATGCGTTTGCCGTCGACGGCGCAGCCGCCGCGACGACCGCCTGTGCAACCGCAGCGCCCATGCTTGGATATGGAGCTCCTGAGGCCTCAACCGATGGGCAATGCTGGTACAGATCCCGCCGCCGCCGCCGCCGCCATGACCCCCCGCGGCGGCAGCGGGCCTCGCGGCGCACCGCTCTACACGTCCCGACACAGAATCAGCGTCACCAGCGTCAAACTGTCGTACGACCATGCCACGGAAGGAAGCTTCCAGGCAGCTGCCGCCGGTTTGGCAGGTGCTGCAGGGAGGGCCCTTCGCAACCGCTATTCCGCCGTTCTGGCGGCGGCGGCGGCGGCGGCCGCGGCAAGAAGGTCCAGCGGCGGCGGCAACGGTAACGAGGGCCGGCAGCCTCCGTACGGCGGCGGTGTCTTGACGACCCTCGGCGGCGGAGTGCTTCTGTACGACACCTAATCCTGATGCTGCATGTGTCCCGGTGAGTAGTGATACCGTACTGAAGCCGTACTGAAACTATGTTAACTGTCTAACTGCGTACGGCATTTTTTGTACGATCTGCCACCGTACCTTCTCCCGACGCGCTCCTCCGCATTCTTCAGCAACTCCCCCCGACCTCCATTCCTTTCCCGCCTTTTCGCCGTCTCCGCAGAGAGGGGCGCTCTCCGCTTGCTACTGCTACTACTGCCACTGCTACTACTGCTGTTGTAAGGTTGAATTTTGTGGGAAGTGGCCAGAGGGTTAGGTCATATGCATTTTCATATGTGGATGCATCCACAGCAGCGCTAGGACATGGTGTTGTTTCCTTCTCTGCTGCGGTGCTCGGCAAGTTCACCTGTATGTACGTCGTGTGTGTTTGTGTGCGCCAGGCGAGGGGGTCCCCTCTTTTTGGGGAGGGCGCACACGTCACACGTCGCATGTTGGTTCGACGGCACTTGACGACCCACAACCGAGAAGGCTCTGTCCAGCTGAGCACATCCCACACCGGCGCTGCTAGGCTTTCCGCCGCTGCTTCTTCCTGTCGTACCTGGGTGCGTCGTACATCGGGTGTACGGCATATCGGACGCGGGTTGTGCCGCGCGGTGTGCTGTTGGGCGTAGTTTTGGTATCGGTGTTGGCGGCGATGGCGCTGCGTTTGTGTGGTGAATTTGCTGATGAATGGAAAGCGCGGTTGGGAAGCGGTTGGGAATTTAATCCGTTTTATCGTTTCAGGTATCAGGATGTATGTTTAAAAAAGTAATATAAGTTGACAGTGACAATGTGCGTTGACGAGATTGCTACACGACTTGTACGAGAGTCGCTTGCTTTTCTGCAAGTACTTGACATATGCATGTTTAGTGACATAGGAAACTTAAAACGGAGGTAACCTCCGCAAACATCGGATATGTGCTTATCAACAAGTCGCTGATTTTCTACGTGAGCTGGATGCCTCCCCAGCGACTTGTCGTACACCCGCATTGCAAAACATGGAGGGATGTATGTGTGGAGTGCCGGGAGAGGGCGAGAATATGCGGACGCGTTTGCATGCATTTGCATACGCTATCTATGCTATGTTTTTTTGGCGCGGATGCAGTACATGCCGTACGGATTTTGGAGCCAGGCGTTGTGCGATCTGCGATACGCAAAGGACGAGGGCGTCTTACGTCTTAGTCGGTGCACGTGGAGCATGGACACCAGGATGCATGGACGTGAGGTTGACCACCAGGAGGAGCGCTTGGGAGTCAAAAAGGCGCGAGCGGCCACTGGTGGGGTGGATGTGGGTAAAATACCATCGAGATGGACAACGGCAGACAGGCCCCCCCACGAGCGTGACACTACGAAGGTGTTGTGTCTTCCGAATAATCAATAATCCAATGTCACCCCGCCACTTCCATCACCACCCCACTCCCTAAGGCTCCTCTTCACTACCACGCGTGAATTCATCAGCCGAAATTGAAGGTGCGGAGGAATGGAATTTTACAAAGAAGTCGAATTCAAAGTGCCGCGACTTACCTAACACACAACCCGGTATATATTCAAGGCTAAGGAAGATGGTGTTGATGGTATGGCTCCCGGTGTTTGATTGTGATGACGCTACCAGGACCTTGCCCGGCTTCTGTTCCCGCCCCCACACGGCTTGCTTTCCCCGCTTCCCATTCAACTATCGGCGGATGACTTGAAACGACAGGTCAAAGCTCTTCTTACATAGTTCTGTACAAATAAATAATATTCGTGGTACAAGTGCACAGCGGCTGCCGTACCACTGAAGGTCCCATGAAAGCCACCTCAATGCTGGATACTTCTACCTCAGCACCAACCGATCAACCCCGACCGCGCGCATTATTAATAATGGACTGGCAGTTGATGGTACTGTTTCTAATTCCATTCGAGACGTGGTTTCGGAATACGATGTCTACAGAGTTGCGAAACAGACCGAGGAGGGGCTGACGTGGCGGCAAAAAGGGGGAGCTGCCGCCTGCCGGAGGTTGGGGGGCTGTGGTGTGCTCGCTGCCGCTGATGGCCACCGACAAGCAGGGCCCGTGCCACGGCCTGTAATGGCGTCTGTATGCCGTACTGCACTGCACGACTAGCAGATGTGTGTATGTGGGGGCCAGTTGTGGTCGTCGGGAACGTCGGTGAACATGCGTGGTTAGGGAATATCGGAGGAGGCTGTGACTACGGCAGCCCGCGTGAGGAGAATGAGTCTGGGCTGGTACTGGAGCGGGGCGGAACACAGATACACAGAACCCGTGTTTCAGGCGTATCTCAATGGTATATATCATAATCCCGCCAGGACTGTACTACAAAAGCTGTGCGAAGTCGTGCCGTGACCTTTGGCCATTTTGTTGGCCATATCGGTCTCTTCGTCACAGAGGCCTCATATGACTCTTTGCTATGTACAGGTGCTGCACGGTTTGAAAACCTCCCACCACTTCATATGACATACGTTACGCTGCATCGCAAGGCGCGGCCAAACACGCGCCGCCCTACCCTGTACGGTACGCATTTGTACCTTTATGTACCTTTTTTTATCTCAGAATTGAAATCAGACGTGGCAATAACAACAGTGACAATGACAACCGGCACAATAAAACACGGTAGCGGCACGCAGCACCCAGCAGTTCCATACCCGCAGCATACTAGCTGCTCACCCTCACCCCACCCCGCTACGGGCCATCTTGGCGATGCAACACAGCACCCGCCCCTAAGGGGGCCCCCACCGACTTTTACAGACGGACCCCGCAATTGTGCGAGGAGCTTGCAACTGTTGCCGAGGGCAGGGCAGGGCAGGGCAGGGCAGGGCAGGGCAGGGCAGGGCAGGGGGAATACGGCGCCCAAACCAGCTGCGAGGTAGCGACGGGGCGTTTTTATACCCCAGGGCGCCCTTACCGTACATTGCACCACCTAGCTGCCTTCGGCATTGAAGGACAGGATTGGCATCCAACGCAACCTCCATCCCGCACCATCTCTTGCTTATTATAAAGGACATCTCCAAGGCGCATCACGTACATGCCACAACAACCCCACAACAACAAGGACAGCACATAATGGTTCCCCCACGACATCAATTAAAAACATCCTGGACCTCCGACCGACCGCATTAACAGCCCCACTACCACTGTTACTGCCACAACCACAATTACCACAGCGCCCCCTGCCAAAACGCTCCTCCAGCTCCACTCCTGTACCTGCTCCCTGCCCCTACCCCTAAGAACCTTCACGGCCCAACCACAAAGACACACCACCGGAGACCTTCACGATTGCATTTCACAACAGAAAACTACATCCGTAGCAAAAACGAATTAAAATGAAAATAGTAACTGGGGCTTTAACCCAGTTCCTATATAATTACTCAGTAGCTCTTTCCCCAAGGGGCACAAACATCCACCCATACACCCCATCCATCCATTTATTCATCCACCTTCCTGAACGGGGGCCCCCACAGCAGTACATTCCTCCCGGCCCTCCACGGCCATTATTTTGAGGGCGACTGGTTCACACACACAACATACATACACACGTACACACACATTGCACATTCCCGGACACCTTCCTCTCCAACCACGTGGCCCGTCCTCCTCCTTCCCCTACCACATCAACATCCACATCCATAACCACATGCACAACCACAACCCATACTCCGCACACCGCCGCGATGGCCGCCGGATATATGGCTTTCTGTCGCGCTTTCTGTCGAACCATCCTTTTCCCGCAGCGGCCACCACTGAGCCATTCACCCGTCCATCAGGCCACCGCCCCGCCCAGCCGCCCGCCCGCCCGCCCGCCTGCCCAGCTATCCCCTCATTGAAGATCCAGAAGCGAGTGGCGAGTGCCGGAACGGCTCAGACGAGACATGACGGGACGCAGCGTCGGTGCTGGAGGCGGTGACGGTGGCGAGCCCACGACTTGGCCGTCGGCACCGCCGCCGCCGCCCCCGCTGGCGCTGCTGGCGGCACTGCCGCTACGGCCCATGGCCCCCGTGCCGGACCACCGCGGCCGCCGATGGCTCGGCTTGGAGTCGTCCGAGGACAGTTCATCGTCATCGCTGACAGGGACACTTTCCACAGTGCTCACGAGCACCCTGTCGGCGAACCGTACGACACCTGTCGGTGCCGCCGTAGTTGCGGCTGCAGTGGCGGCGGCGGCGGCGGCGGCAGGGATGGCGGTGTAGGGCTTGGCATTGTCTGCTGGGTAGCGACGCTGTTGCGCCGCCCCGCCAGAGCCGGCGGTGGCGGCAGCTGTTGGCGGCGCCGCTGGCAGCAGCGCACCAGCGGTGGCCACCGGCGAGATGGATGCTGACGTGGCGGGACTCGACGCAGGAGGCGGACAGCTCAGCATGAGAGCGGGACGCGGCGGCGGCGTCAGACGCCGTGAAGCTGGAACGGGCAGCGGCGGCGCTGGTGCCAGTGCGGGCGGCGTGGCGACGAACGACACCCCGCCACTTGGAACCGTCCCTCCCACACTTGCCGTCACGGCCGCCAGCACTGCCGCCGCCGGCTGCTGCTTCTTCTGAAGCTGCGTCATGCACGACGGAACGGGCGCACCGCCAGCTGCGGCGCCGGCGCCGCCAGGAGTACCGACAGCGGCGGCGGCGGCGGCTGCTCCCGGGCCAACCACTGCAGGTCCCCCCACCGGGGCCCCCGCGGGAGATAGCGCGGCTGTTGCCGCGACGCTGACGGCGCCGCCGCCACCAGTGCCGTTCCCGGCTACTGCAGCCGCCACTTCCACAGGGCCCGGCACTGCCAGCGGCGCGGAGGCGGCGGTGGGCTGCTGCTGCTGCTGCTGCATTGGAATGTCCTCAATGCCAAAGGGCCCCACGCGGTGACTCAGCTTCCACTGCGTAATGGCTGACGTAGCGTACCTGTCAGGCAGGCGGGGATTGGAGTAACAACAACAGGAACAATAATATTAACCAATCACCACAGAAAGCGCAGCTACAACCGTGGAATATGATAGCAGAAAAAGCAATTGCCGTACCGTTACAACGACGAATATTTGGCAGCAGGATATATACATATCGCCAGACGAGGAAGGGTTCACGGAACGGAAAAGGGCCTGATCCGTTCCAGCCGTACATTTGCCGTACAACTATGCCGTACATACCTGTACGCATCCTTCACGATCCGGTCCATTAGGTGGAAGTCCATCAGCCGGAACCCGCCCAGCCCGGGGGGCCGCAGGTACAGGTCAATTCGGTGCTCCACTGCCACCCGCTTCAGGTTGGCAACGTGGGTCATGGAAGTGAGCTTGCTGAGCAGGGCGGCGTAGCGAGGCGCCCCGCGACCGGACCCGGAGCCGGACCCGGACGAGGCAGCGGCGAAGCGCAAGCCGGGGATGGGACACAAGCGATCCCACAGCAGCCGCCAGCCGGACAGACCGCCATCGTACGGCGTCAGGCTGCGCCAGCCTGTCGTACACGGAATGCGAGAAGAACAAAAGACATGTGTTTGGCAGCCAGCTGGTGGGGGGTGGAGCGGGGGGGAAAGACGAACCACACACGATTGAAGCTGCTGCCAGGGCAAGAGAGTAACAAACGTATAACTGACCGAAAGGCGTCCGTGGCGACCGTGATCTCGGGATGACGAAGTGAATAAGATGCCGGAAAGACTACCTACCTAAGCCGCCAGAACTAAAAAAGCAGAAGAAATAGTATAGCCAATCCGTAAAGAAGTAGGTGTAGAAAAGTAGTAGTGAAGGCTGCGGAAACGTAGTAAAATAGTGCTGTCGTAAAGGAGGCATAAAGTTGCTGGCCTGGAGAAATAGCTGATTTGCTGATACTGAAAGGCTGTCGGTATGCAAGTGCTGTCGGTATGCAAGAGCGGGGGGGGCGGGGAACGAGCCCGCGGAGTCCCCTCAGGCCACCTAGCAGCAATGCGACCGCTGCTAAACCCCCCGCCTGCAATATATGCAATCTACATCACATTCTACACCACAATCTACAGCACAATTTATAGCACACCAAAAGGCCACACACAACAAACACAGCACGCCGAGGGGCCTTGCCTGCCGACCGACCGACCGACCCCGCAACCCACTTTCCCTCATCGTCATCAATCACCACGCACCCATGTCGTCCCGACCCTCGACATCCACCACGACCACGGAGTCGACGCCCATCATGCTGCGCATCACGTCCACCGGCATGTTGTTCATGTATCTGTTGGGAGGTGCGCATGTGAGGGTGGGGGTGTGAGGGTGTGTGTGTTTGGGTGTGTGTGTTTGGGGGTGTGTTTTGTGTGTGGGGGGGGAAGTGGTTAAGTGTGAACCTCGACACGGGTGCATCAGGCAGGAAGGAGATTTCAACACGGGGACGTGCGCAGTTGTTTCGCTGGCATTGGCACACACACACACACACACATACGCACACACACATACCCACATACCCCCCCCCAGACACACACACAAATTGATTTGAGCCCCCTTCCTCCTTTCCCCACCATCCTCCTCCTCCTCACCCTCCGTCTACCAGCAAGCACCCGTCCTCCCACACGGGAGGAAGCAAGCCCACTATCGTCATGGAGGCGCGGACCTGGGCCGCAAAAAGTATGTATGTGTGTGTGTGTGTGGGGGGGGGGGGGAGCCGGAGGGCAGGCGGGGAGGGGGAAAGAGAGGAAAGGAAAAATAGAGGACCA